TAAGTTAGCTTCTATACTAAGTTATAAAAGACTATTAAATAGTAATATAGTTAGTAATAATACTTATAGAGAAGAATAAGAAGCTACGTATAGAAGTCTAGCGTTAACGAAAAAAGCAGAGTTAGCAGCGTTAATATATTACTTCTAGTAGAGTACTCTAAGTCTAATAGAGTTAGTAGATAGCTACAGAGGTAGAAAGAGTAGTAATAGAGGCTAGCTAGAGCTAAGCTAATAAGCGACGTCAGCGCGCACCACTAACGTGTACGAAGTACTACGTTTAAGAGCATACTTAGATCTTATATAAATCTATATAGAGAATAATATCTCTTAATTTTATTCTATTTTATTACGCTGTTGTAGAGTAATTACGCAGAGCAACAGGTTAGGTTGAGCGGGGTGCCCAGCTTACTAATCTACCTAGCTTACTAATCCCGCACGTTAAAGCTTCTTAGCTTTTTATATCACTAGCCTGATTAAAAATAGGTCTCGTGCTTAGCAAGTTATACTTATGTTAAAACTTTAAGTTTTAGTATCATATTTCTTTTATTTATCATCTTTTCATATCATTATTTAGAATTTAGCGTACAACGCTCCTATATAATAATATATGTTATAATTATTTCCAGTTCATAATTTAGATTATAATAATTAAAAATTAATCTTAAGTTAAAAATATCATAAGGTATTTAGCTATATTAATCTAAGATAGTAATTTTAATAGGTTCTGGCTCTAGTCTTGAGTAGCGTGATCGTTATATGCGCCCGTGACCGATCCCCCTAGCGCCTTCCCCAATCCATTGCGACATCATGTTGGGCTGCTGTTAGCATCCACCTGCGATCCATGAAACAGTGCCTTCCGGCTCATCGCTAGCCGCCTTGCCTATATTTAACACCTCCACTGTACCGCTTCCTGTTCTCTTTTTTCTTTTCTCTTTCTTGTGCGTTGATCCTTCTTCCGGCTCCGACTGCGCAAAGTGGCCCAGTCTCCCCGCCACTGTTAGTACCGCGTTATCCAGTAGTCCACGCTCCCCGCCCTCAACTTGCGCCTCGTGACAGTCAACAGAGATCACACCACGCCCAGCTGGCTTATATCAGTCCATGCATTTCCTCTGCTAGCTTTCCAGCGCGTGCTGCTGCTTTTTTCCTCCGAGCTTGCGTCTATCCGACAACTACCGCAAGCATGCGACCACTTCGCCTGGTGGTATCGCTCTCTACGAGCCTTGCAGCCTTCACCATCGTCCTGTACATGGTTTTAGGGAATTCTGTAGATGCTGAGCAGGGGAGTATATCATCCACTTCAAATCGCGGCGGCTTCAAAGCCCTGTTCTCGTTTGCTTCACCAGGCTCGCTATTTCCGCCGTCTGCCATTATTAGCTTGACCGACGATAACTCGACTTTCTTCCTCGCCCGACCCGCCGCATTCGGTCCTTTGCTACCCAAAGAAGGCTTGAGCGGCTCTCTGTGGGTTGGTAGTGGCTTCGACGATGATAGCATAGGTGCGGAGGGCGAGTTAGGCTGCAGCGATGTGCCTGGCTGGCACGACGACGGCGATGATTTTATTACTACCCCGCAAACGACCGCAAACACCAGAAACAAACTCAGGAATACCATTTTGGGCAAGGATGTTACCCCGAAGGATGGAGTTTCCGAGAGCGGACGCGATTCATCTGATGACGTCGTGACAAACGATGGTACAGACGATCGTTTGCAGCCCCATGGCTCCAAGGCGCACGCACAGCCAGGAGGTCTTCACGCTGACACCCAATCACTTCAAGAGAGCGCAGAGATCATAGGCAAGATTGTGCTCCTCAAGCGAGGGGGCTGTGGTTTCTTGGCCAAAGTGCAGTGGGCACAGTCGCGTGGTGGGATAGCTGTCATTGTGGGTGATGATCTTCGCGGCGGCGCGCTCGTGAGGATGTACGCCAAAGGAGATACCTCCAACATCACTATCCCATCTCTCTTTACCTCGCATACGACCGCCCATCTTCTATCTTCTCTCATGCCGAACGAACGTGTACTTACGGGTGCTGCTCAAAATTCCCTAAACTATACCCAGAAGGCCGCCAAGGAGTCAAGGCCTGCAGCTCATGATAAAGAGTACAATCAGAAGACCACCAAAGGAACAGCTGCCGTGTCCCAAACGGGCTGGTTGCACTCGTTTATGGCTTTGTTTAGGGTTGGTTCCAGTGAAAACGCACCCAAAGCCGGGAGCCGACGACCACCAACTAGTGGCAATCTTGAATGGCTGGAGATGGAGAGTTTGGACGACGATGATAAGCCTATAAAGACGAAGGCCACGGTTCCTTGTTCGATACCTGAAAAAACTTTGGACGGTGCTGTTATCGGCGAGCAAAATTGGCGTGTTCCTAATACTCTTCCTCAGACATCTGCCAACGGAGGTCAAAAAGCAGCGGTCTCAACATCCATGGCAGCCATTTCAAATGGAAACGAGTTGCCTACAAGCGACGAGTACATCAACACACAAGCGCAACACAAAGGACTTTGGGTCACGCTTACTCCGACAAATGTCTCAAGTAGCCCATTCCTCGACACTCTTCTTGTGCTTGTTGTTAGCCCACTGGTTACTTTGACCGTTGTATATGTGTTGCTTCTCCTTCGATCTCGCATACGGCGCCGCCGGTGGCGGGCGCCCAAATCTGTCGTTGAGCGTCTTCCTGTCAGGACTTATCAGACTATCAGCGATTCTCCTTCTTCCTCTGCCGCAAGCCTGCCTGCAGATTCTCCAACCACCCCTCTACTTCAACCCCTGCCCTCTAGATCTAGATCTCTCGACTCTCGTTCGCATTCTTCATCGGATTCTGATGTGCCGGGCGCTTCGTCGTCCGCGCAGCATGGTCCCCGTGGTCGCGAACAAGAGAAACGCGAGTCAGGGCTAGCGGCCTGGAGACGGCGCTATGGCGGGCGTCAGAAAGAATGTGTCGTTTGTCTGGAAGAGTATGTCGATGGCGTCAGCCAAGTAATGAGTTTACCGTGTGGTCATGAGTTTCACGCGGATTGCATGTAAGTTTTCCATCATTTTTTTGTACATGGACTAGTCTAACGTATGTAGTACTCCTTGGCTCGTCACTCGTCGGAGGACATGCCCTATTTGCAAGGGCGATGTCGTACGTTCGTTGAGTTGGCGCCATGACCAACTGCAATCAGCGTCACCAACACGCTCGTCCCAGCTTCCTACTGGCGGTGAAGATGTGCAGACGCAAGCAGCTGAGAATCATGACATGTCCCCTTCAGCTTCGCGACCCGTACCGACATACGGATCAGCACAAACTAGCCTCCAACCAACTGACGACGTAGAGGCTGGTTGGACGGGGCGTGACTCGTATCGAAGTCCTGTCTCTTCACTGAGAGAGCTAGCTTCGTCTGTTTCTACCGTAGTATGGCGTGGATTAGACGCTGTTCGGAACACTACTGGTTTTCAACGATCTCCGCCTGAAGACGCTGATCGTAATCGGTAATGTTGGGATTACGACTTATGTCTAGATATGAGGAATTTTGGTTGCATTCAAGATATATACCCCTGGGAGGCACATTGGCGTTGACTTTGGACCTGAGCATCTTTTCTGAACTGGATGTTCCCTTCACCAACAAGTGACAGCATGGAAAGCTCGGAGTAGCGTATCTGGAACCTAGATCTCTTTGGAGTCCCTGATCACTTCACTTTTCTATTTCTTTTCCACTCCACTCAGAATCGCAATAGACAGTATTGCCATTTTCTGCTTGACGTTTTTTTTCTTTTCGCTTATATTGGACTATCTTACCTGGACTGTACCAAGCAAAGAGCGTTTAGCCAATATGGGTTGTGTAATACCCACTAAAAGCCATGTTACACCACGCATGAGAACCGATGGAAACCGACGCGAGGACGGTGGACCTTGGACTTGGCACCAGCGCTCTCAGCCACTATGGAGTTTCTTGACTCATATGCAAGCTCACACTATTGTATAGTATACGTTGCCTATCGTGTCCTCATTGGATTGCTCTAGGGCGTCTGGTACAGCTGACTGGAAGGGACTTACTACTGTGTCGCATTTGTAGTCATAAGTACAAAATCTGTAAACCCAACAACTAGTGACAGCACCACATCAGGCCATCGAACCATTGGAAACCTGAAGCCTGGCGGTGAATGAAAAGCTCAGAAGGCATGCGTAATGAACGACCACCCAGCTTGTGTTCTTGTTTCACTGATGCCCATGCACAAGGCCTCGCATTCTATGCTGTAAGCACCCATCTCCAACAAAGAATTGGCGTTCAACCGAATTGACGACATAATAAATGGGGCTTGGAACGTAGTATAGGACCGGGGATAGGGGTTCTGAGACCCGAAAATATTGCTTGCATGATCAGCAACCCCACTGCGGCAACCAACACACCTGCATATCTACAAGATCGCTTACCTGTCTTGGTATAGTCGCTTGACGACGAACCATTTGCTATATTCTCCTTTCTTAAGATGATTCACTATGGAAATACTGTTCAAATAAGTAAACCATTGGCTGGTTGACTCTGCTTACCTGCTTACGAGAGAACGGGAGTCTGTGCAAGATTAAGTGTTGGATGTCTCGTATGATCCCTACAACGAACAGCAACATTTTCCAAGTTTGCTAAAAGCTGCGTGTTCAATTGCCAAGGAGCATGGCAAATTCCACCTACGTACGCAAAAACCGCGCTGCCAAGACGGTGAATATAGTAAGCCGAGATGTGATGTTCATCACGCGAAAAGGTAATTTCGGGGACGTGAGCAAAGTCCAAAACTTAGTTTCTGCAAACCAATCGGAACTTGTGGAGGTCAGCTTGGCGGTCGGCGTGAAAAGGATGTTACCTATGCTTTGTTGATTAAAAGGAAAGTGCGATATTGAGGGTCGTGGTCTGCACTTTTGATGTATAAATGCCGGGTACGAACAGCCCATGCGATGCTGTATAATCATTACCCTCATCCCATATCCAGGAGCAACTTAGCACTAATACTACTAATCTCGAACATGAAGTGGCTTTTCCTTATTCTACCCTTCATGGGAAGTGTCCTTGCACTGGTACCTCGCGAGCCACAAGCAGCATCCGCAGCATGCACTTGCGACACCGTATTCTGCACCCAAGTCTGGCCCGACTCCTGCTACTGCGCCAACGATGCCAAAAATGCGTGTTATGAAAAATGCGGTGGAAGCCCTCCAACATACGATACCTGTCCTCCTCGGGGCATAATAGCACGCACGCCACAAGAAGCAGCACCAACGCCCGCACCCACGCCTATGCCCCCGTCTACCTGCATCTGCGAACCCGTCTTCTGCCTAGACTCCTGGCCTGAGTCCTGCTACTGCAACAACGCCGTGAAGAAAAACTGCTACGAAAAATGCGGCGGCGAAATACCAAAGTACCAGACGTGCCCGCCGCGCGAAGTCGTCCCAAAACCAGATCCCGTCCCCAAACCAGACTCCACAGAGTGCCAGTGCCCAGAAATAAACTGTATCCAATCCTTCCCCGAAGGATGCTACTGCGCCAACAACGCCAAACTACAATGTTACAAGAAATGCGGCGGCGAAGAGCCAGTCCTTAGTGTAAGATTGTTATCCTCCTCCCCTTTCCTTCCAGCAACAACAACGTTCTTCGCCAAATAGCCAAAAGGGAAAAAAAGATGGTTAGGAAACTAGTAACTAACACAAACTACTACAGAGCTGTGATTAACTTTTAGACCTAACCATAACCACCAAGTCTTGCCGCGCTGCTCAGCCCACCCCAGCAAACCGCGTCTGCGCCGGCCCCCTTCCCAGCCTATCCATCTGATCAGCTCTATATTGCGAATCCGCTGAGACCCGGCTCATGTGGCCCGTTGTACGGTGACCCGGGCATTTGTGTCGAGGACGTCATGTGTGGTGAGATTGCGGGGTTGACGCGTAAGTAAGAGGGCGGGGACAGATTTGCGTGGATGATCCTTGGGATGATTGTTATCTTGATCGGGGAGGCTACGGACTGTACTGGGATGTGTCGAACAGGTTTTGGTAATGGTATTGACTATTTTTATAACGTGTTCTATGGGCGAGCGCCGCACACGGGCGAGCGCCGCACCCCACCAAACTTATACACCTCTACAAGCGCGTAGCTCCACCATGAATTAATTATTCTATTATATATTAAGATAGTAGATTAAGTACTATCTAAAGTATCTTTCTTGCATGTACGTGCATTATAACTAGTCTCCCTACACCTACTATAGCGCGCAAGAGCCTGGCGGCTAACACCTAATCGCTCTTCTCCTTAACGCTCTTTATAAGCAATCTGCTAATTAGCCTTACGCTAAGTAAGTAGATCCTCGCTAGCTCCCTTTATAAGGACTCTACGCTTCTATATCCGCTTTTTCTTACGTTTTCTATACTCTAATACTGCTATATTAGCTCTCTTAAGGCTAGTAATTTAATCGCGTATTAGCTTAGCTAAGAGTATTATTACCTTAGCCCTCTTCTTAAGCTAATTAATCGCTATAATAATTAAAGCTAGTAATAAGCTCTAGTACTTTTAAACGCGCTCGCTTATTAACGTTAATTAAGCCTCTAGCTTACGTACGTTACTTAGTGTATAAGCCTACTAGAGAGCCTCTATAAGAGTAGCTAGAGAACTAGGCGTACGTAGCTATATATTAAGCTTTAATAGAATAGCGTCTAGATAGAGAGAGATAAGGCCTACGCCTTAAAAAGCTAAGCAGATATTAGCTAGCGTAAAGGATTAATTAAAGGCTATCTTAAACGTTAGTAGAAACTTAAGCTTAGTAATATAGTTAATATAATAGCAGATTAGACTCTCTATCTTACAGCTATACGCGCGCTTTAATAGCGAGAAGTAGCTAATATTAAGAGGCTAGAGTAGATAAGATAAATAAGGTAGTATATAGAGAGTATAGATATTATTCTTCTAATATAACTCTTAGAACTTAAGAGACTAGTAGCTCTTATAACTATTAAGAATAAGTAGATAATATATACTAATAACGCGAGTCTTTATATAAGTATTAAAGTACTTTATCTATATAATACCTAGCTTATTATTTATCTAGCTATTATTACTAACTACAATTACCTAGTCGCGTAGAACGTCTACCTTCTTATACTAAGTAGATAAGTAGTACTTACTAGTAAAAATAAGAAATAGTAAGATAGCCTAGCTAGCCGCATTATGTAACGGCGCAGGCAAGACTACTCGGATCAGTATCGGCGGTAGTGTCACTCAGAGGCATATGGGAGTGCGTGGGACATCAAACGAGCCTTAATTCGAATAGACACCTATAGGCCTTGTACGAAAGGATATCAAAAATCTATCGAGCTACGGTATGGAGAAGGTGGGGTTTTATATCAGCAGATCTGCCCTCGGCTAGTGCGTGCCCATGTTCGGATCCCTTTCGGATGTTAGTTCAGTGTGTACTCGAACCGTTACACTACCCCCCCCTCTATTGACAGCTAGTCCCGTAGCTGTTGAAAAATTTTCAATGTTTGTTTGTTTGTCTGTTTGCTTGATGTCGTCATCCTTCTATGCAGGGTCTCGGCCAGGCCCCGAACAGCCTCCGGGCCAAGGAGAATCCACTCAGCACGTGA